CCACCAGGCCCCACCCACTACAGGCTGCCTGCAGAAAACTACAGGAGGGGGCGGATACAAGACCAGTCACCCTGCACAAGGAGAGAGAGCAGCACTGACCGGTCTTTATTACAGGAAGCTCGTGCACAAAGGCAAAGTTTCCTACTGGATTTCGGCACAGATCTGGAAAATATACACCAAGATTCAAACAAGAATAGACTTGCTTCTTGTATTCAGACACAATTTGCCTATCCCAGAACTCAGCTTAATTTTGCAATCTCTTAACATGATTTGCTAATGGATTTAGCTAAGGTTGTTGTTTTTCTTGCCAATATCTAAGGTGTCTAAGAACCTGAGGCGATCAGTTTTTTTTCTCCAGCGCTGCTGCTTCCAAGGTGGCCACTTGTGTGACACAACCCATTGTTACACCCAAAGCAAAACAAGAAGCCCTGATAGAGGCTGCTAGCTCCAAAGCTCGCAGAGCAGTGCTGCATGCCTTTCTTCTTCATCACAGCAGGATATGTCGCACAGGCGTCAGCCAGGCTTGGAAACTCCTTGAAAAGCAATGAGTTTCCATGGGAGGCTGAGGGAAAGAGAGCGGCTCCAAGCAGCGTTAGCTGCGGAACTGTTTATCACCGCTGGCAAGGCTGCTGATTGGCACGTTATCTGAGCAGTAAGGGCAAGAGCAAAGTACACTACCCCTAGAAAACAAATCAAAGTGCGTCTTTTATTGCTCAGATTTCAATAAAATGAAATCTGATTGGTTGGTGTGGATTTCTGCATATTGCAATGTTTACTGAATATGCATGCTCTTCTCTGTATGTTCTATTACTGCATTGATTACTGCATTGCATTGATTTTAAAGTGCCCAGGCCACAAAAGAACATATCTTTTGGTTTGAATACCTGTTACCCCCACCGCACGCTATGGTTTCTCCCATCAGCTGGTATGTCCTGTAGTGACATACGAGCCAGCGGAAGACATCACAGCATGCGGCAGGGGAGCTGGCTCTACACACCTGGAAGTGTGGAATCCATGCAGCCGCCAGGGATGTGGCAACGTAGTGATGTTTCAACAACTGAATTTGACCTGGTATCAGCCTTTCCCAGTCCCTGTATAGCAGGGCTCAGACTGGAAGGGGGGAAAGAAGCATTGGGAGCCAATCGGCCAGGCTGCAGTGCTCATGTGATATGCTGATTAGACGAGAGAGCAGAGTGACCCTCTGCGATGAGCTCTTCAGTATGCTGCTTCTCATTTCACAGCCCAATCACAGGTCATAGGAGGGACAAGACCTGTAAATGTTACTGAACTGCAGCAATATCAGGTCTCCTGGCCTGCCAGGCCGAACTTTGCTGTGTGTCAGAGCTGTGTACATTTTGGGACTGGATGGACAAAAATACTAATATTTTGTCAGGTAAAACAGCTCCCATATACAGTATGTATTATATCTCTGTATTTAGCTGTTTGGTTGGAGTTCAGCTTTATTATTTTGAGCCACGGGTTAGGAACAAGTGTGCAGCAGGGTGGGTTTTAGTGATTAAAACTTTTGATCTACATACCTGTTCTAAGTCAGTGTCCGAGAACATGGCTTCATCATATTTACAAAGCTTGGTGTGTCTTCAGTTTGCTAAGTGAACTGTCTGCATTCTCCCATTTGCCACCTGACAGCTCATCATCTGTCGGTAACTCAATGCACGGTTTAGCTTTTACCTACTAAGACAGCCTTCTTCAACTTTTTTAACATGGAGAAACCCTTGAAATATCTTCCAGGTCTCAGGGAACCCCTGCTAATAATTATTATAGCACAGCTCAGCGTGAACTGTAAGGTGTGAATGTAGGAATACATGAAAGATGGAATGTGATGTATATAGAGTGCTGAAACAAATAATAATAAAGAAATGCAGACCATAAAAACTATACGTCTCCCTTGCATTGGGGGTTAGTGTGGTGCCCCCTTACAATGGGGGTTAGTGTGGCGCCCCCTTACAATGGGGGTTAGTATGGTGCCCCCTTACAATGGGGGTTAGTGTGGTGCCCCCTTACAATAGGGGTTAGTGTGGTGCCCCCTTACAATGGGGGTTAGTATGGTGCCCCCTTACAATGGGGGTTAGTGTGGTTCCCCCTTACAATGGGGGTTAGTGTGGTGCCCCCTTACAATGGGGGTTAGTGTGGTGCCCCCTTCCATTGGGGGTCAGTGTGGTGCCCCCTTCCATTAAGGGACAGTGATGTACTACATTCCATTGGTGGAGAATGCCCCCTTTAGATTGATGGTCAGTGGAATAGGTCCCCATTACACAGGTAGTCAGTGGTAATAATGCTCCTTACGGTTTTAGGGGTCAGTGTAGTGCCCCCTTAAACTGCAGGTCAGTGTAGTGCCCCCTTAGACTGCGGATCAGTGTGATGCCCCGTTACACTGGGGGTCAGTGCGGTGCCCCGTTTCATTGGGGGTCAGTGTGGTGCCCCGTTTCATTGGGGGTCAGTGGGGTACCCTGTTTCATTGGGGGTCAGTGTGGTGCCCCGTTTCATTGGGGGTCAGTGTGGTGCCCCCTTACATTGGGGATCAGTGTGGTGCCCCCTTACATTGGGGTCAGTGTAGTCCCCCCTTACAATGAGGGTCAGTGAAGTACTACATTCCATTGGAGGAGATTGCCCCCCTTAGATTGAAGGTCAGTGGAATAGGTCCTCATTACGCTGGTAGTCAGTGGTAATAATGCTAATTTCGCTATTCGACACTATAGTGCCCCCTTACACTTGGGGTCAGTGCGGTGCCCCCTTACACTGGGGGTCAGTGCGGTGCCCCCTTACATGGGCGGTCATTGTAGTGCCCCCTTACATTAGCGGTCAGTGTAGTGCCCCCTTACATTGGCGGTCAGTGTAGTGCCCCCTTACATTGGCGGTCAGTGTAGTGCCCCCTTACATTGGCGGTCAGTATAGTGCTTCCTTGCATCGAAGGTCAGTGTAGTGCCCCATTATACTGGTAATCATTGTAGTGCCACTTTACATTTGAGGTCAGTGTAGTGCCCCCTTCCATTAGTGGTAAGTGTAGTGGCCCCTTACATTAGTGGTAAGTGTAGTGGCCCCTTACATTGGTGGTAGGTGTAGTGCCCCCTTGCATTGGAGGGCAGTGTAGTGCCCCCTTACATTGGTGGTCAATGTAGTGCCCCATTATACTGGTAATCAATGTAGTGCCTCCTTGCATTTTAGGTCAGTGTATTGCCCCCTTTCATTGGCGGTAAGTGTAGTGCCCCCTTGCATTAGAGGTCCATGTAGTGGCCCTTTGCATTAGAGGTCAGTGTAGTGGCCCGTTGCATTAGAGGTCAGTGTAGCGGCCCATTGCATTAGAGGTCAGTGTAGCGGCCCATTGCATTAGAGGTCAGTGTAGTGGCCCGTTGCATTAGAGGTCAGTGTAGTGGCCCGTTGCATTAGAGGTCAGTGTAGTGGCCCCTTGCATTAGAGGTCAGTGTAGTGGCCCCTTACAATGGAGGTCAGTGCAGTGCCCCCTTACACTGGTGGTGCATGAAGGGTTGCATTACATTGTTGGTCGGTGGAGAATTGCCCCCTTAGATTGGTGGTCAGTGCAGAAGGTCCCCATATACACCGCTGGTCATTGGATAAAATGCCCCTTACATTGATGTTCTGTAGGAAGTGAGAGTTCCCCCATTACAGATAGCAGAACAGATTATTGGTGTCGGTGGTAACTTACCTGAAAGGTAGAAATTGCTTATAGCTCAAGGAACCCCTAGCAACCTCTGGAGGAGTCATAGAGTTCCACAGAACCCTGGCTAAGAAAGGCTGTACTATGACTAAAGCCATACACAATTTCTGCCGATTCCTGAGTATGGACCAAAACTCTAACTATGAGTGGCCCTGCTGGCACCATTGAAAAATCGAATCGGTTGGGTGGAAATTGATCTGTCGTACAGTGACTGCAGCCAATCAGCTGCAGTCACTGTCCGGGTATTCCCACTGTCGCGGGAGCAGCGGCTGCCACAATACAATAGCCAGCAGGGCTGTATAGCATGGATAGGGGAATGGAGTGATGTTCTGAACCAGAAAAAACTATACATGTATGGCCAGCTTTACTAAGTGCTTACCATCAGCTCCAAATAGCACAAGTATGATTTTGTTGGTGAAAAGACTAGATTAAAGCTTAGAATAAAATAAAGGTGTGTGTGTATGGCTGATACAGACCCCCGATAAGAGTCCCCCAGCACCCCCTGAGTCTCAGGTGTACCGTAATGCGGCCAGGTAGCGGCCACTGGCACAGTCCTATAGCAAAGAGTCTGCAGAGCGGTGGAAGCGTGTCGTCCGTCGCACACCCCCCTCGCCTCGCCGACTTCCCCTCCCGCTGCCGCCTGTGCTGTTTAAATGGGCCAAGTTGGAGAAGCGGCGGCGAAGGCAAATCTTGTTTGGTCAGAGAGTCTGTGAACTCCAGTGTGTGACATGTAGAATTAAGAGGGATCCCCCAGCAGACCCCATACACCCAAGCAGAGGCAGCCGAGCGAGCAGGAAGAGCACAGGAAGAAGGCAGGACACGCAGCGTGTCTCTCCTCTATCACACTGGGAATAGTCACATACTAAGTAACAATTATTATCCTCATTAATAGGAGAGACGAGCGGAGCGGGGAGCCTGGCAGGTGGATGGCTGGCAGTCCGCACAGAGTGCCCTTAAAAGTTGGCTGAGCTGCCCCGATCGACGGAGCCGAGGGGTCAGACGAGGGGCAGCGAGGAGGGGGCACAGGGGGCACAGCCGGCGGGGGTATCTGGACGGGAAGAGGTGAGCAGGGGGCACAGGGAGCCCCGGAGTGCAGCCCGCACCACGGGGGAGGTCGATAGGGGATCAATAAGCATTTTCTAAAGCAACATGATGTCTCCGGTGGCTCAGCCCTCTCCAGCATGTCATGTCTCAGTCGGGCTGGGAGGCAGATCGGCACAAGGAGCGTACTGCGAGCAGCTGTGAGAGTCTTGCGGGAACCGAGCCGCCGCCGGGAGGGCGCAATCCCCGGCGCTAAGGACTACAGCGCAACCCCCGGCGCCAGGAGGGACACCATGCCGGCCATCAAGAAAGAGAGACCGGATCGCGAGGAATTAGCCCTGGCAGCCTTTAACCAGCCCATGGACACCCTGCCCGGGTACCTGACGGCTGCCATCCCGGTGGTGACCCCGCACCCCCCGGTTTACGAGCACCTTTTCGCTCCCCACGCTCACCGTGCCTACCTGGGACTGCACGAGCCCCATCACCCCCAGCTGCCCGATGACCTCATGCTGGAGAGGTTCTCCTCCATCCCCGACTTCCAGCCCCTCTTCGACCAGGGGGAGCCGTGCATCGAAGTGGAGTGCGGGGAGAACAAGGCTCTGCTCTACATCCAGAAGTTGTGCCAGGGCAGCAAGGGGCCATCCATCCGCTACCGGGGAGAGTGGCTCACCCCCAACGAGTTCCAGTTCGTCAGCGGACGGGAGACGGCCAAGGACTGGAAGCGCAGCATCAGGCACAAAGGTACCGATCGACCGGGCAACTCCGGTTAAAGTTAGGCTAAAGTCTGCCGATAGCGCCCGGGTGGCATGGGATTGGCACCGGGGGACCAAGCTGGCTTATGTGGATTATCAATACTCTTATATTTATTTTTATTTGTTATTGATCATCTTGGGATCTATTGATGCCAGTATTGGCTGGTATGTGATTGTGGGCTTACATTGGCACTTTACTCCTGCAGCCCTATAGCAGACTGTCAAGTGGAGCCACATGCAGATCTTTATGATGATGAAGGATGTGTGGGGTCTCTCCAGCTAGACTCGCTGGAAAGCCTGGCACGGTGAGAAGCAGAGGGCTGAATGTGTGCAGGTACACAGGCAATGGCACCCAGGGGTTGGGCACATCGGTAGAATAGCACAGCCGGGCAGATCAGAATGGAAGCGAGTTGCTGGTTTGATATACGATCTGTCCTGCGCAGGCTGCTGTCTGTCCAGGGCAAAGCACCGACAGGGGGAAGGGAGGGGGTCCATCTGACAGGTCATCGCTAATGAGAGGTCATTAACCCCACCCAGAGGGATCTCAGGAAGAGGAGGTGGGGGGAGGAACACGATCCAAGTCTGTTTATTTGGCTGAAAGCGTGCACAGTACACCCAACGGGCACTGCCAATCCCTGACACCAGGGCGCCTATGTGAGTTCTTACACGATTTTAGGAAGGGTCACAGTCTGCTGGCTCTATATTTATCCTTCCTGATTCATGTAGACTGGGAAGCAGACAGATCTTCTGTTTGGTGAAGGTCGCTGTCTCTCCACCATTGCTGGCATCAACTTGTTCTGTTACTTTGTCTGGTCGCTTGCAACATCGTGTGAGTTTCCTAAAATGTATCTGCTTCACTTGCCTATGGCCAGCTCACATCTGGAAATAACTGTAATTCATATTTTTGTATAGTATGAATGAATGGATGTGTCCTGCATGGATTGTATGTCTGCCAGGTGTTTATCACCTACCTACGCTACTTAATATCCAGGTGCGATCTGGGTTTAGGAAGGCGTCACAATTGTGCGATTTGAGTCTGTGTTTGCTTAGCCTGAAACTCATAACCTTTTCTGTCTCTCTTTCATGTGCTGCTCCCAGGGAAAAGTCTGAAGACTCTTATGTCAAAAGGAATCTTACAGGTACATCCTCCAATCTGTGATTGCCCTGGGTGTCGAATTTCGTCTCCAGTGGTAAGATCATCGCTCAGACTCTGTTTTACCCGCACTTTATGCTTCATTTGACAGCGCTTGTGTGGCCAGAAAGGTTTTGACACAGTTCAATTCGCTATGCGTGCATGTGCGTGTTGATTGCATGACAGATGTTGTGATTTGGGGGTCTTACAGGAAATGTGTTCTCATCTAACAAGGAAAACAATCTTTCTTGGCTCCAATTATCACTTTCCTCCAGACAAACAAATATCTCCACGGCCAAACCATGGGGGATTTATTTATTTACTTACCGTTTACGTAATCATTTTTCCCCCAGTATGTTTCTTCTCAGAGAATGGCTGCGGTCCATGTATTCGTTATGATGTCTAAGCGGAAGTCAGCTTTGCTCAGAGGTGTTAGCCATCTCTGGTGACATGTTGACACGGTCCAGGATATTTTTATTATCAGTGTTTGGTTTTAAAACTCAAATATTTAAATAAACCTGGCCATATGCCATAAGATTTAGACTGGTCACATCAGCTAATTTCACAAACGTTCATTCAATACTAGATTCATGTTTTTGGATTTAACTAGCGTGGATGAAGATTGGTTGCTTATTGTTGGTAAATTTTGTGATGTCACCCAATCATAATGTGATGTGTGGCCAGCTAAGTGGTATTAAATAGATACATTTTATTGATCTTGATGGAACAGCAGCTGCCGATGTTTATTATGTTATGATGACTGGTTGGTAAGGTGGCTGTAGGCATAAAATGATTAGGCATCACTCCCTTTTGGGTTCCTGCAGTCTGTGCGGGGCTCCACCAGTTAACCAATACCTTGGGATATTTCAATAGGCTGTGTTGGATCATTTTGCCATTGATTTTCCCCCTCCGGATAAGTTGGCGCCGGTCGTGTCTGGGCACACTCCGTCTCCCTCCTCAGTAGGCAGAGAGGCCCATGCTGATGTGACCTCTGTGATGTCAGGAGGCAGCTTTACTGTTTGTCCTTTCAGAGACCAGATAGGCAGCGCAGAGGCTAGCAGTGTTGGATGCTTGGAATGGATGGGCCGACTAACCAGTGAAGAGTGTTTAAAGAGCAAACTCTGTATTATGGCTTCTACTAACTTTGTCATCATATCTGTTTGTGGTTTGTAGTATTCCTTTACTTTTATTTCTAGTCATTGATTTTGTGTGCCTCTCTTGTTGCTAATGGTACTTGTATAGATACATGTAGGCCAAAGAGATCTAGTGTGATGTAATAGCTACCTGTGCTGTGTCCACCCACTGGCTTCTCATATATCCTGGGAACTCCCTGCTAGAGGTCATGTCTGTTCTTCTATGAGTGTTACACAGTCAAACAACCAAGACTAACTGCTCGTGCTGCATTCTCCATGATATGAGACAATCCATTTGTGAGGTGGAGACCTTCACATAATGGCTATGGGCAGTGGACAGAGTGGATGTTCAGGTGTCAGATGTTAATTGCTGGAGGGTAAAAAAAACAACTGGCGTGTTTCATACTTCTGGTGATCAAATTTGGTCAGACTTGTCTCTCAAAGTCCTTTCATTGTGCAGTGTGGCTATGGGAGAGCTGAAATAGTAGATTTTGATAAGATACCCATGCAGACACCAGGAGAACATACAAACTCCATGCAACTAATGTTCATGTTAGGAATTGAACACATGATTCCATTTCGTAGTCACCATACTCGCCAACCATAAAATTGTTTTGACCAGTGGAGCTCAGGATTTTTTAAATGCAATTCCCCCAGACTGGAAAGACAGATATATTATGATTATTATTTGGGCTGGACTGATCCAAAAAGGTCCAGGTAGGCAATGCTCTTTAAAAATCACAGCTGGCGCCTAGCCTAACTTTCGAGGATTCTTTAGTTGATGTGTACTGAACTGGCTCCTAAAAAAAATCCTGGTGGCTCCATATTAATTTGTCCACCCTTGATTAATATTATAACCCCCATCAGTTGGTGTGTTCTTGGGTCCTTTGGCTATCAAGTGATCTGAATACCTGGCTCGGGTGCCAAATATCCGAATGACTACTGAGTGGTCTGAAAATTTGGCTTGGGTGCCAAAATATCTGCAAGACTACTAAGTCATCTGAAAATTTGTCTGTGGTGCCAAATATCCGGATGACTTATGAAGGTGCCCATACACCTGACGATTATCGTACGATAATCGCGGGTGATCCCACATTCGTACGATAATCCTAAGGTTGATAGGCAGCGTGCAACCGCATTTACTGTACGGTCGCACGATTTGCATATAACGAGCACACTAGAAAACCTTTCGTCTTGTCAAGTACGATCTGCCTGTCCAAGATGGGCAGGTCGTACAAACTTTTAATCACCTTACAACCATCGCACAACGAAAGTTGTGCGATGGTTGTAAGGTGTATGGCCACCTTTAGTGATCTGAAAATTTAGCTAGGGTGGCAAATATCCAAATATTTTATATTTTGCCGGTAGCTTGAACAAAACTGATAACGTTCAGGCTTTGTGCTGCTCTTTTGCGGTTCAGCCAGGCCAATCCTCTGGCGTTCTGCCAAAAGGTCTTTTAAGGTAGCAGCATTTTGTTTTACACCTTGTTGGTAGTTGCTTTTGCTCCTCCTATGGTTGGACTAATAACATAGTAAGTTCACTAACCTGTTCGTCCCGGTATTGTCCCTGAGAACGAGGAACCGGCTGGCCCTGTGGATTTATCTGCGGCTTTTATCTTGAGGTATGAACTAACCTTAGCAACAGACAGCCGGAGCTGGCGGCGATAAAAATGCGATGAAAGGGAATTAATGGTGAGTACAGGAAAATCAATGAAATCCTATAGGCAGACGGAAGAAATTAGTCAAAAAGACAATTTTGTGGGATCAAATGGCAGTTTCATTGATATCATTATTTTATTGCCCGACTTCAGTGCATTTTATACCGCAATATAATTTGAGATTTTAAAGGGCTCCTTTATGTGTGCTGAGGCGTGCCTTTTGCCATATTTTATCAACGCTTTGGGCTTGTGTAATTTATTTTCTGAACTGAATCTCTTTGTACAGGCTAACATAGTGCATTTTTTTAGGATGTTTTAATTGTAAGCTATGATGGCAAGACTGTGACTGAATCACATAAATAATAAAGTGTAAGGTGCAGTGTTCATTTTGTGTACTTTTTAAAGCTGAACTTTAGATTGATATAATAAAAACACAATGTTATCCAGTTATACAGTCATAAAATAGTCATTAAAGGTGTTTTTACATGTAGCTAGCATAAGTACCTATGTGTCTTGATACTGGCTTTCTGTAATCTCCTGCACAGCTGCACTCAAATTGATGGAGGGAAGCTCAGTTAGAACTCTATTGTGTACATTTTGCAGTCTGTGAATGTGCTCAAAGGCAGAAAGAGCAGAGGGTAACTTTATCAGTGTGCTGCTGATCCCTTATTGTCCAATTGCAGACTGGGTTGGATCTGGGACTAGGTTGCATTCTTACAAATTGGGGAAAGGGGGTTCAAACTGTTGTAGGTGTAAAGCATAGACACCTAGAGGTGCATTCACATAACTGCAACAGCCACTGAAGCCTTCCTGACAGGAGAATGCTGGGCCATTTTAATGAACCAGGGCCCAAAAAAGTGGGTAGTGTTAGAGCTTTACCTGCTCAGCCCCACTACCACATATTCCTATTGGTCCATCACTATGATAGACAGCCTCAGTGTCGAGTAGCAATGTGCAGGAGGTAGGTGGGGGCAGGCAAGTCATCAGTAAGTGCTAAAGCTATGCCGGATAGAATTGTATGAGACTCAGTCCTGGCATGACGTTTCGGAGGCAGCTGAAGGTTGGTAATAGTATTCATTAATATATTAGGTATTTATAGTAGTGTGTGGATAGCGGTCAATGACCAGGCTGAGCTGTCTGTCAGAAGTGCTTGATTTACAAGATTGGCTGAACAGAATTACAGATCTGGCAGGTGAAATAGATCACATATATGTCTTTTGATTGTATATTTAGCTGTTTGCCTGGAGTTCTCCCTTAAATGCATAAAGCTCTACATAGAGATCATTTTGTTTGTAGATTAGATCCAGGTACTCTAAACTGCAATTTTTTTATTGAAATCCTTGTTATTTTGAGAACTGGCTGCACCCAGTGTCACCTTTTGTGTAAAGGAAAGCCATAAGGTATACAAAGTAAAAGAAAGTTCAGTTTTGGTTGAATGAAGGTAATGCAATGTTAAGTCACTTGAAAAGATATATTACATTTGAGGATGCCAGCCCTTAGTCCTAATACAAATTTATGGCCAGGAATCGTTACTGCACTTGTGTTGCATTGAAATGATATGGAGGCTACACAAAATTTGTTAGAGAAATGAAGCATTATTTCCATTGCCATGCCTTCCTTAAAGCTGAATGCGAAGCACAATTAAAAAAAAAATATATATATACTCCTCAATAGCGACGAAAGACACAAATGCCTTTGGAAATCCAGCTAGTTCCTTGTAAATGGAGCGGTGACATCATCACAGTGCTGCACATAGTGTGTGCAGGGAGCAGAGCTGTGGGAGGGACCCAGCAGGCCCCACCCACTACAGGTTGCCAACAGGTAGAAAACTACAGGATGGGAGGACACTTTTATGCTCAAAGTTTACAGAAGAAGCAGGAAAGTAAATCTCTCAACAGCTCAGGAGCATGGTCATTTAAAGAATGTGTAAATACTTGAAAGTCCATAAGCTGGCCAACAATACACTGTATGCTGACCACACTTGTTGAAATCAGATTTGTCTTCTTTAGATTTACCCGGAGATATGTAGTGTGGGAGCCTAACTGACTGGATGTAAGTTGAATGGATTCTTTAGACTCTCGCAGTACACTACATAGATGTAATAATGCAAGGGCCTATTTACACAATCCATTCACTGTACATTCAGACTGGTAACCCAGAATCTGACTTTACAGAATTGCAGGTCCATATCTTTCAGAGTTCCATTTTCTGTCTGAGTTGATTGCTGTCTACTCCACACACACTTTTTGCATGAAGGAGAGTTTGCAC